TTATATTTATGCTTTATCTCTTCAGCTGACTACATCTTTCCCAGGTGCAGAGGGGAGCCTGTGGAAGAGTACAGGCTCCTCCTCATGGTGACCATCTGGGTTCTCGCTGTGGGAAGTGTAAGAACTGCTGCTGCTGCTGCTCTCACTCCCTCCTTCCTCCTGAGGGGCAGTCGGAGAGAGAGCAGGGAATGTTTCCATCTGAGTCTCAGAACTCAGGCCCAGCTCCATCAGTAACTGGTAGTGTGACCTTGGACAAACCACCTAACCTTTCTGAGCCTCATATTCCTCGTTTGGTAAAAATGAGGACAATACCTACCTCACAAGGTTGGTGTGAGGATTAAATGGAATGTTGTAGATGAAAACTCCTTGCACAAGGCCCCACGTGTACAGTAGCCACTCAATAAATGTTAGTTTCCCTTCCCTTTGCCTGAGTCTATATTCAAACAAAATAGAGATTCTGAGAATCTCTCGGGGGAAGTGAATGCTTTGTCCCTGCATTCTTATTCCACGTCCCAACCACCCTCCTCCCCCCCACCCCCACCCCAGTCTAATCCTCTGAAGGTACAGGTTCAGGCCCTTCTCTGCCCTTTTTCTCCTGAGCATTCTTAACCAAGTGCTTCCTGTTCATTGCTGTGAGGTCCTAGCTCTAGGTCCTATCAAAGTAAAGAAGTCAGAATCTTCCCAGCACCTACGAATGCCTTCAGGTGACACAGTGGTCTGAGCACTTGTTCCCCCTACCCTCAACCCTGGAATAAGTAGCAGAACTCTTCTAGCTTCCATTGAAGGGTTTCTCAAAAGAGCAATTAATAATTCTCATAGGGAATTAACACTACACTAAGTCAACTACTGCTGAAGAACAACCGTTGGTAAGATGGAAGTTAGCCCTGGCCACTGGCTCAGTTGGTTAGAGCATTGTCCCGTGCACTGAAGGGTCACGGGTTTGATTCCCCGTCAAGGCACATAACCAGGTTGCGGATTGGACCCCTGGTTGAGTGTGTGTGCGGGAGGCAACTCATCAATGTTTCTCATATCAGTGTTTCTTCCTCTCTAGAATCAGGGAAAAACATCCTCAGGTGAGAAAAAAAGATAGAAGTTGAGATTTATTAAATAACTAGAGGCCCAGTGCACCAAATTTGTGCATTGGGGCAGGGCCCTCAGCCTGACCTGCACCTTCTCCAATCTGGGAGCCCTCAGGGGATGTCCAACTGCCAGTTTAGGCCCAATCCTGCAGGCAGTTGGACATCCCCCTCGAAATCCGGGACCTATAACTCCTAACTGCTCACCTGCCTGCCTGCCCTAACCACTCTGCCTGCCTGCCTGGTCCCCCTAACTGCTCTCCCCTGCCAGCCTTATCCCCCTAACTGTCCTTCCCTGCTGGCCTGATTCCCCTAACTGCCCTCCCCTGCCTGGTCACCCCTATTAACTTTTTTTTTTTAAATCTTATCCCCTTCACACATAATTGTATTTGACTTCCTTATTGGCTTCTCTCACACAATTTTTCTCTCTCCTTTATGTAACACTTTTTCCTACTGACTCAAACTTCTTTCCTCCTTATCTCCTACTTTTGTTCCATCATCCTTCCCATCTATCTCCTACCCTCCCTCCCTGCCCACATTCCTTCTTTATCTTTACCCCTACCCTCCCTCCCCTTTTCCTTCCCACCTTAATTTTTTTCTTCACTTCCTCCCTCAGACCTGCTTTGCTCCCTCCCCCATTTCTTCCTTCTTCCCATTCTCCTTTTAAGCCCTACCAGCTCCCCTTTAAAACTCCTCTTCCCTTCCTCTTTCTCTCTCATCCTACCTTTCCCCCACGGGGGATGGAGCCCATAACCTAGACATGTGCCCTTGACCGGAATCAAACCTGGGGCCCTTCAGTCTCCAGGCTGTCGCTCTAGCCACTGAGCCAAACTGGTTAGGGCTATACTTGATTTTCATTATAGCTCCTACAGTTCACTCATACATCCTCTTTCCTTCTTTAACTCTGCTGTCTGCTGACTCCTTTATAAAGTTTTTCCCTTCTTTCCTATCATCCCCCCTCCTCCCTCATTCTTTTACTCTTTTTACAGGCTAATTAAAAATTCTATGCTTTTCATCCTGTCTTAGTACTGACTTTCCTCTCTGGGATGTGTAGCAGCCTCTGGGCACCTCGGGCCCCTCTCGCATCAGCTTTGAGATGCAGCTGTGTCTTGCCAACGGTGGCTCATGCCTCCCCTCTGGGAGTCAGGGGAGTGTCCTGCTGGGCTGGGGCCAGGGCCAGGGCCAGTGTCCATCGTCCATCGCAGGGACCGCTGCATTACGCACGCAAGAGGCTTTTCTCCTGTTGTGTGCGGAAGTGGGGGGCGGGGCGCGATGCGGAGGCCTTTCCTATTCCTGCTCCCATGCCTCAAGCAGCTCTCTGTCTGCTCCTATCCCGAATTCGTAGGCGATGGGCGTGCTTGCACAGGCATGGTTGGGGCCAGCTTGTCCTTGGGGGGCATTCCAGGATGCAAGCTCCTGTTGGACCAGGCCGATGAATGGATGGATAGCTAGAGAAAGCCGTGGCGGCTTCCTTGTGGTGTGAGGGTTGCCTGTGGTCTCCACGGTGGCAGGGCCAGCTTCACACGGCAGGAAGAGACTTTGAGGTTGCGCACTTGGGAGGATTGACCAGTGCCCCGGGCATCATGGGGCCACCTTGTGTGTCTGTGGCAATGGGATCCCTGCGTTGTTTACCCAATGGCTATCCTGCTTTACCTCGACGTCCACTCTCTGTTATCGCGCCCGGGTCCTTCCTTCATGTTGGGTCCACACCCTCTCGATTTGCATGCGCGACCCCTCCCGGGGGTCACTGCCAACACTCGCACTCCCTGGTTGGTGTCTGCTGATTGTGCCCTGAGAACTGGCCGCCTGTGTGCAGGTGTCACCACGCAGCCCCCTCACTTTCCTGGCCCAGCTCCAGGGGCAGGGAAGTGAGCCTCATGCAAGTCCCCTGGCTGTGCGTGCAGCCTGTTGAATGGTCGTTACTGTGACACTGTAACGGACAGTTTGCATATTGCCTCTTTATTATGTAGATGGACTCTTTGACACTTGACAGATGACATTCCACTTTAAAAGTTTTGAATTTGAGGGACCCAGCTAAAGGCAAGATGGCAGGCTCATGGTGAGCAGATGTCAAGGGATGAAAATAGGTGTGCCTACAAGCAAATTTTAAAAGCATTTTCTCTTCAAATCTTTTTCCATACCACCTGATAAGCATCTTGATTCACCGTGGCGGTATCAGCAGTGAAATGGGCAATATCAAACAGCTATTTTGAAACATTTCCAATCCAGAATGGAGCTTTATAGTGTGTCTGTTATAAATCCTCATACTCTCCTCTTCTAGATGACTATAATTGCAAAGTAGAACTTGCTTTGACATTTGGTGGCAGGACAATAGTTTGCTGCCATCCTTCTGTGGAGATTCCATATGAACACACCAAGCCTATCCCTTAGCCAAATCCTGTGTATAATTATGAAGGAACACAGGATCAAATACTGAAAACCAGATCAGAAGAAAAAGATGAACACTTTGAGCAAGGACCCATGATAGAAGAACTTAGCAAAATGTTCTTTACTACTAAGCACCATTGGTATCCTTAGGGACAGTATCATACACGTCGTAGGAAACTGAATCCTCCAAAAGACAGATGATATTGAGGTTTTCAGTAAAATGCTGTCCTGTCCTCATTTGCCATTTGAGAAAATTCAATCAGGTATACTCACTACTATGTAATATAGTAAAATAATAATAAAATGTCTTTTTATCTAAAAAAAAGTTTTGAATTTGAGAGGCACACCTCTGTCTCCTAGCATCATCAGGTTCACCCACTTGGCTTGGTTCCCTATCCCCACTGGCCATGCTGGCCTATTTTAGTTCACGGGTCTTGTTCTTTTCACCAGATTATCACACTATTCTTATTTTTATTTTATTGTTTTCAGAGAGGAAGGGAGAGGGAGAGAGAGAAATATCAATGATAAGAGAATCATTGTTCGGCTGCCTCCTACATGCCCCACACTGGGGCTCAAGCCTGTAACCCAGACATGTGCCCTGATCAGGAATCAAACCGTGACCTCTTGGTTCATAGGTGGACCCTCTACCACTGAGCCACACCACCTTGGCTGTTTATCACACTCTTGATCCTTCCATTGTGTAGGCCCTGGAGGAGTAGCTTCTGTGCCTCTGGCCTTTGTCCACAGCGCTGGATTTTTCCATGGTTCAGTGAGGGTAGGGCATCTTAGAGGTTAGGGCAAGCCTCCTGCAACACTGACTCTGGTTATTAAATGCCAGTCTCACAGCTCCCTTTCCTGTGAACTTAGCAAACTGCCTCTGAAACAGGGATGGGCCACAATAAGAGCGCTCAATAAGAATGCATCCTGACTTACAAGTAACCTCAGAGGTTTTGGGTGGATATGCCTGCCTTTAGTTTCTTCCTTCTGTCATGGTTGGGGCTTTTTCTACACTGAGCCCTTCAAGCTGCCTAGCCAGCAGCTATGAGGGAATCGAATGTTTAATCACCACATGGACCCTTCTATAGCTAAGAGCTCACAGGAACTCTGTTGGATGGTCTTCTGGTCTCTTCTCACTGTAGCCTAGACCAGAAGGTTTCTTGGAGACATGTTTGTGGAAGTCCTATTTGGCCTAAGGTTGAGCTATGAGGAGCCAACTGCTTTTTTTGTTCTCTGGGCTTCAATGCTTTCCTGTTTTATATAGCTAATGCATGGCCAGTGGGTCTCCATTGTATTCCTCTCTCTCTCCTGTTTCTTTGGCTCAAAAAATACTCTTCTGCTTTCCTAGGCCAACTCAAAGACCCTGCTTCGTTAGATGTTTGGTATTTTTCAGTCTTTAGTT